AGCCATGTGACTCTTGACACCCAATTACAGCCATGTGACTCTTGACACCCAATTACAGCCATGTGACTCTTGACACCCAATTACAGCCATGTGACACCCAATAAGAGTCGTGTGACTTTTTGACACCCATTGACCTACCTACCCTACATGTGAATGGTATTCACCACTTTCCATACAACGGTTCAATGATCAAACACAAAGCACTAAAGCGAGGCTTCAAGGTAGTTTTAAAGGATTATTCAAATTTGAACCTTGCTGCCTCGGTTGAATGCTTTGTATTTGACCAATGAACCGATGTATGACAAAATGGCGATCAATGTGCATGACGAGTACAATTGTGATTAGATCATTAAATGATCGACTTTAACCAATTGCAAATTTCTAAACCTTATTACAAAATTTGCAAATTGCATAATATTTGATTTCATTTAGTTTCTTTGTCGGTAGATAGTATTTTATGGTGATTTGGATATTAATTTTGATTCAATATGCTGTGATGAATTTTATTAGGTTGATTGATGTGAAATGCTGTACGAAAGTAAAATTATCAATAAACTCACTCTATTTATTCTCCCATGTATTTAGTTATCTCTTTATGATCAATCCATCTAACTATTTATTTAAACGCTGATGTATTCATTTATTCAACCATCCATCGATCCATCCATTTATCATATACCCAATTACCTATTTCCTCCTATACTTCCCTTATTAAGTTAGTCAGTCGGTCATTACTAGTCTACTTATCGCATACTACCATGTACCAACTCAGATACTATTCCATGATTGGTAGACTGATTGTTATTTCAATGAGAATCAAAACATTGCATGTAGCGTAGATAATGTTTTGCTAGAATCAATGAAGTTTTTCTGGTGGATTATAAATTGCTGTCAATAACCTCTATAATCAACAATAACAGAAAAGACAATTTAAAAGGTAAGGATATCCAGCTTTATTAAGAAATCTATTCTTAAAAACTACCAAGGAAAATCACTTACTTATTGTGTGGGTACAGTTGCTGGGCAAAAATGGCAAAATCTGTTGTGTTTTCTAGAGCTAAATAATCAATGTTTCTTTGTAAAGTACCACAAAATATAACGTAAATGTTAACGAAATTGCTAAAAGATTGCTACAATGACATATGATACAATGTGAACAAAGATGGCTAAGACACACTAGAGTTTTCTCAATATTTATTTTACCGAGGTTTTCGTATAGGAGTGTGAACGATATGCAAATTGGTATCGTAGGCCGTACCGTATCTTACCATAGCCTTAACTACGCTTTTTGATTGGATAAATTACTAAAAGGAAAAGGAAAGCCATTTTAATGTTAAGGTTGATCCTACCGCTTACGTGCTGTAAGTCTCTACCGTGTTCTCCATTCATATGGAAACTGCTCTAATGAATCCTTGAAGAGAAAGTTATGATCTTTAGATAATTCATTTTAGCGAGTATTTTCTTAAATCGTTGAATTCGACTTTTATATATTTTTTGAATTACATTCCTTTAGCAAGACGAGCTCAGAACGAATATTGTAGAATGAATATGTTTAATTCAGTATTTGGAAGAGAAAATTCAAATGTGCTGAAAAAAAGAACGCTAAATTGATATGTAACCATATGTACTCTTTGTGATTGGTTGAGTAATACGGAAAACAATGGAAAGCCTTTTCAATGTTACGGTATGTCGTATCGTGCATGTGCGGACAGTACCGTAAATTCCCCACTAACATGAAAATTATTCCAATGGAAAGCCACTTTAAAGTTATGGCATGTTGCACCGTGCACGTGCTCTAAGTCAATACCGTATATTTCCCACTCATATGAAAACCATTCCAATGGAAAGCCATTTTAATGTTATAGCATGTCGTACCGTGCACGTGCTGGAAGTCCGGCATGCAATACCGTATGTTTCCCACTCATTTGAAAGACCATTGCAATCATTTCAATGTTATGGCATGTTGTGCCGTGCACGTGCTATAATCCGGTAATACCGTATGTTTCCCACATATTTGAAAACCATTCCAATCAAAAGCCATTTCGATGTTATGGTATGTTGTACTGTGCACGTGCTGTAATACAGTGCCGTAGGTTACCACTCAATCCCTCTCTAAAGAAAATGATTTCGTTTTTATTTGAAGTACGTTTGTCAACTGTTGGTCGACAATATGAAGTTGACTGTTGGGATAGTCATATCAGCTGTATTTTGGATATCATTTGTAGGTAAGAAAATAATTTCCTTCCATGGAATAACATTTGTTTAATTGCTAGCAGAATGCCTGGCTAAAGCTTCGGACACACTGTGCAACATTGCGTGATTGTTGCAAGCTATCGATGTTGCGAGTTATGCAAACGAAAAAAATGAACGAATAAACAAACAAACGAAAAGAAAAAAAAAAGCAAAACAACTAAGAAACCATCTTCACCATAAAGGTTCAAGGTTCAAGGTTTATTTTTTTCCACATATTTACATAGCTATTGCTGCTAGTAAAAAAGACAAAGAATCGTGGTAGGGTGCAGAAATACAACCCGAGGGGGTTAATGAAAATATTGTGCACCCTATTCATAGGTAATTCAATTTAAGATAATGGGACGGAAAAGAAGAAATTACAATGCATAAATAAGTTAAGAACAGTTCTTGGATTAAATATGTTTGAAGGRAWTTGCTTATAAGTAWTATGCTATACAAAAATAATGACGAAAATACTATCGAGATAATAAGTAGTTTTTATAGTTTGTAGTTTGTTTTAAACTGTAAAATAATCCAGTGTAATTAAATTCTGGTTGTCTTCATCGTCTCATTTTAGGCGCAATAGAAGACCTCATGCCACTAGACATTCCCAAAGCTCAAATAAAAAAGACCAACGCGAAGGCAGCTAAAAAGAACGACATTCAATTGCCACCTATTGAGAACAGTAGAAGTTTGACTCATGCAGATAGCAGCATCGAAGGATTGAGTGATGAAGAAGTGGAAGGCTACGATGAAAAGGCAATGAGGAGGGGAAGTATCACTTCTCCTAGACAAAAGACCAAAACCATAGGATCAGAGAATAGGGATATCAATGTTAATGCAAACAGTGGGCCTTCGAGCTCGAAGGAAGCAGACATGGGCCTCGAGGCAAATGAATTCGATACAGAAGAGCAAGAACAAGAACCAGATATAGTGAATAATGATGAGGAGGAAGGAATAGGGGGAAAGGACAACAATGGAGTTCGGGATGAGGCTGATAATATTAAAGATGTTGATGTGAATGATGGAGATGTGCAAGTAGACAACCCAGAAACCATGAGAGAACAAGATGCGGATTGGGGGAAAGAAGTGCATGAGGATGACTAATAAGGACAGACAGACAACTAAGATACTGCCAAATAAATCAGACAGGAATACAGACATTGTACAGTATATATACCACGATGAATGGACAGACAGATAAAAAAGATACTGAAAAATAAACAATTAACAGACAGGAATACAAATAGTACTTATATATAACACGATAAAGAACTCATTTGCTCATTTTACGCGACTTGAAGTTGGGAAAGGCCCATTGGCACTCATCTTCAGTCGTTTCATATAAGGCTCGTAATTTACCTATTACGCATGTTCTTATACGATTTCCGAGCCCATCCTACACGGCTTACAGCCTCACCTATCATATAACACGACAAAATGACAGAAAACAGACAAAATTCATATATGTTTATTTTGACACGATTTCTCTTTTTAAGGGAGGAGGGTCACGTGACCAACTGTTATAAAAGGTCTATCGCTCTYCATTCTTGAAAAAAACTGCTACCTTTTTTGATCTACGTTTTTGCTAATAAAAACCTTTTTCTAAATTCTCAAGTGTATTAATATATTTCACAGGAAACTAAAAGGCCCAAAACGCAGGCATAATATAGCTATTATATCTATGGTGGAAATAGCTTCTGTTTTCTAATGAAATTTCAGTAAAATGATCGAGAATTTTGCTCTCATCACCGAATTTCAGTCCTACAATTTTTCGAACCACGTTTAAACTTAGAAAATAATAAATGTTATTATTCAAAAATTTAAGAGATGAAAAATCTTCGAATGACGTCTTATCAAATATTAAATTCATGAATGCAATAGGAACTTTAGTTGAGTTGTAAAAATTGAAACGCGATTCCCAGCCAGGATAAAAGGAGCAAGCGCGCTTAATATTTTGGCGCCAAACTTCCCGCCATATTCTCTAAGCGGAATGGTGCAAAATTCATCAAATCAAAATTACGACCAACAGCAATGAATTAGTTTTTTTTATGATCAACAATTCCTTTTATGGTCTACAAGCAATTCCTTCTAATTTTAGCATCCGTACTTGAAACACTCCATCCAAAACGCCATCTCCAAAGAAAGATCAGTTCAAGTTCAATGGGCAGAAATTTTTTTAACGATTTGGGGGCCTTACTGCAAAATTTTAGACGTAGACAATTGGGGACTACTGAATTTCGCGGGAAAGACGAATAATGTAATGTTTTTTTTCGCTTTTATAAAAGTACATTACGAACAAAGACGTTACATTGTTTCTTTACGCATGGCGAAGCAAATGCAAAGCAATTTATGTTGTTTGTAGTGGAAGCAACTTTACCTTCAAGTAACCAGTTTTTCAACAATGAGTTTGTTATGGTTTTCTATAGTTTCTAATGGAATCACCGCAAAAACAATCATAAAACAATTGAAATAAATGCAATTAATAATAAATGACATCCTGTTTGTGTTTGATTCACTTTTTAATCGTCAAACCCTTTTTCTTAGCGAGGATTTTTACTCCCAAGCTACAAATGGTAAGAAAAAAATTATTATACGAATATGAAATCAAGGTAAACTTAGTTAAAAACTCTAGGGTAAGTTAAAACAAGATTGGAATAACTTTTACGAATGTCCTATGATGATAATTATAATGCTGTCAGTTCAGCGGTAAAGCAATGATTAGTCACAGCTTTTTATCATAAGGAAAGGGTTTTTCTCTTAAAAAAACGAACGAATGTATAGAAAGAAGTCAAGAATCAAATTGCAGTAAGCTAAACTTTACAATCCAATTTATCGAATTGTTATTCACTCGTAGAAGAAAAACTACTCTTACTTCATACTATATTTTGAATATATATTTTTCTCTAGAATATTCGATATATATATATATATATATATATTTCAAAATATCAATAATATAAAAAGAGATAAATTTTTCGAAAAATATAAATACAAATTTGATAAGCTTCGAAAACAGAGGAAGACTAATTAATTTGATATTTAAGTTGAATAAATCCCAGTTTGTTTTGGGCAAGATCTACTGGTAACATTGACCTTCAATCAATCTTATAAAACTGCTTATTACTGTAGCTTTATATTCTTCTCATTTCTTTCTTTTTTCCATTCCAATTTCATTTCTGTGACTTATATTTTCACTTTCTTTTTGTTTCAATTTCTACTTCACCCTTTTATTTATTATATTCCCATTCCATTTCCACTTTTTCCATTCTATTTCCTATCATTGTTTTTCATTTTATGCTCTCACACGTATAATATTTACAGAAATTCTTTTCCAAAAATATTTTGCAGTTTTCTGAAGACTGAGTCTCAAAGATGTCTACATTTATTTATATCTATATCTTACTCTTCGCATTAAATTGGGTTCACCTTGAAGGTATGTGCACATATCGCCAAACGCATGAATGTAACAACTCGATCATGTGGCTGAGCGTATTGGACAAGCCTCTTTCCCCCTAACTTAAATATTTCCTCTTAAGATTATTACAACTGTCCTCCAAAATGGCTTCCATCATGTGAATTTAAAAAAAGGCTTACTTCGATACCGATTGTGTTGGGGCCTTTGTTGGTCAAACTTTTAAAAATGTGTGTTAAAATCCCATATGTCCTCCAATATGGCATCCATCACGAGATCAAGCTTCTATACATAACTTAACTAGTATTGAAAGAAAGTATTACCATTATGACCAATTATTAAACCTGTCCTCCAACATGGCTTCTATCACGTGATCAAGCTTTGATATATAACTAAATTAGTATTGAATGAAAGTAACCCCCATTATGACCTCCATTATCAATATGACTTCCATCACGTGATCAGCCTTCTATATATAACTTAACTAGTGTTGAATGAAAGTATCATATATTTTGCAGCCACAATACAAAGGGATATTTTAACTTACATCAATGATCTTCGTCATCTTCATTCCTCGGGACCTCTCATCATGTCTCCAACCATCAGCGCCATGGCTCAGAAATCTGCAGAAAGATTTTCGAAAAGTGGTGGTGATTCTTCTGTCGTATCTAATGCACAGTACGTAAGATAGTATTGTCTACTTTCTCATAGCCTACGATGCTCTGCTTTGGGGAGGGGATGAGGTGACCGGTAAAAAAGTGTACCTAAATTAATTGTTCTTCAATTGAATGTGCACTATAACTGCTTTTATCTGTAAAGTACTGATTATTAGTTTCATGTAAGTCGAAAGGATTGATGTTAAAGAAATGAGATTGTTGAAAATGATAATGATAATGACGATGTACTTAGTTGAAAATGATGATGATGATGATGATATTGATGATAAATACGCTCGATGATGGACATGATGTAGTTGATGACCAGAAGTTTAGAAATTTGTTTCATACTTTCAGATTCAGTACCAACCATTGTGTCTTCAATGGAAGACTAAGCCAGTTGCCAAAAACATGTGCAGTTAGATGGTACACCACCATGAAGGACCACAGCTGGTGTAGGCCTCAGCGAGAAGGGAAAGCAAGACCTTTTATCAACATGATATGGAACGCAACAGCAAGGGCTGGAATTGGGGTATCGCAGGGAAAAAGTAGAAAATACTTCGTAGTGATTTATTTTTCTCCGAGAAAAACTCATGACGTGAAACAGAATGTGAAGCCAGTGAAAAGTAAGAGTAACAGTTATGACCCTTGCTAGCGAGCGGTTGGCTGTGATGAATGAAGCTACTTTGTAGTTGCTTATTTTTGTCTGAGAAAAAAACACAATGTAAAAGAGAATGTGAAGCCAGTGAAAAGTAAGAGTAACAGTTATGACCCTTGCTAGCTAGCGGTTGGCTGTGATGAATGAAGCTACTTTGTAGTTGCTTATTTTTGTCTG